AGACTATGAAATTCACAATTTGGGAAGAGAAATTTTTTTCTATCATAAATATATATTTGCTGCATCTGCATAATACCCAAGAGCAGAGTAGAATGTTTAAAAATCTTTTTTTAGTAAATAATAAACAAGAGATGTTTGTAAACCACTTATGCCCTTCCCCAAAATAATTGTAATTTTTCTAATTCCAAGGTGCATAACTCAATTCAAAATTGCTCAATTGTATCCCAAACAGATCCTGACCTAGAAATTCTTATGATCAATTTGTATATAAAATTTAATTTCAATGTGTGTAACAACTGCGAAACAAGAGGCCCATTGGCCACATCGCTCACCTGAGCACCAAGGGTAAGAAAAAGAAGAAAATGACTTTTTATCTTAAAGTTTCAATCCTAAAGTAGTCCCATGACCAATCATGGATTTGCTATTTTTTAGAAAATGATTTTTAAAGAATTTTCCTATGTATACCTTTAACAACTTTGGTCGGTTATTTTGGCCCCGCCCTACCCCCGGGGGTCATGACTTGCACAAATCTACACTACCAGAGCATGCTTCCATATAAAGATGAGGAATAGTGGCATTGTCATTCTTGAGAAGAAGATTTTAAAAGAATTTTCCTATATATTTCTATGTAAAATTATGGTCGGCCATTTTGGCCCTGCTCTACCCCTGCTTGTCATGATTTGAACAAACTTGAATCTACATTACCTGAGCATGCTTCCCAATAAGTTTCATCTTTCCTGGCCCATTGGTTCTTGAGAAGAAGATTTTTTAAATATGCCATCAAATCGTCATAAATTTCCAATTATCTCCCCTTGAATGAAGGTGTGTCCCTTTATTTGAACAAATCTGAATCCCCTTTACCCATGGATACCTTGTGGCAAGTTTGGTTGAAATTGGCCCAGCGGTTCTTGAGAAGAAGTCGAAAATGTGAAAAGTTAACAGACTGACGGACAGACTGATGGACGCCGGACAAGATGTGATCAGAAAAGCTCACTTGAGCTTTCAGCTCAGGTGAGCTAACAAAGAAGGAAACAGATTATGGATCGACAGACAGACTAATCAACAGACAGCAGCAAAGCAATATACCCTCCAGTCTTCAAAGAGGGGCATAAGCCCCACCCCACCTTGACCCAGGGGCCCATGAAATTCATAATTTTAAATATGGAAAACAGTCAAAATATGTCTTAGCTGCTGAAATTTTTTAGAGTTCAAGCAGCCCAAAATGAAAATGCTTTCCGATTTTGTATCATCAGTTTGCTGTTGTATGCAAAGTCTGAGTTTCCTTTAAGGTAAGGTTTGCGTTAACAGGGAGATAACTCTTGCGAATCACCAAAGCGTTTGAAACAGGCGACTTTAAACCAGCGATGCTAAGCATCTCGGTAACGAATTTCCTCTGTCATACTTGATGTTTGTTGTCACTTATTGTTATGTTAGGACTTAGGACTAAATACAAAGGACGTTTTAAGGAAAAAGTCTTATAACAAATCAAAGCATAGGAATCTTAAAAGCCTTTGAGATTTGCGTGATGCATGCGAATGAACCAATAAATGAGGACTTGTTTATTTTCGATACGGAATGTGGCAAGTTGTAGGCCATTCCGATCAGAAGAAAGTTATCGACGCATTGTGCTGTTGTGTGTTTCTCGCTTCACCACTACACTAAAATTTTAAGTGAGAATGGGAAGGAAAAAAGAAAAGACCTGAGAGTATCCTGTAAAGTATTATGCTTTATGCAGTCCAAACAGGGAAGAAAAGTCACGGTGCATTTGACAGTGTTTGACCATGTCCAATGATGATGTTGACAGTTTGATTGTTGATAGTATTTTCATCAGGTAATTATTTAACTATTCATTTAACTGAAAGTTATGAATGATCTTCTGACTACAGATTTAAAAACGATGAATAAACGGTACAATTTAAGGGTGTCAGGATGTGGCTAATATCCCAACATTGCCAAAAAATAAAAATGCATTAATTCAAGAAATTATGAAAAAAATCCTTGCTTTTTAGGCCTAATATTTGTAACATTTTTGGAACAGGTATTCAATTGTTCAAGTTACCTTTTAAATGATGTTTGATTTTAATTGATATCTCATTTTTTAATTAATACAAATTGTGCATGACAAGAACATTAATTTTCTTGATCAAGCATTTGCATTTCACTATAATTCAATCTACATGTATAAATTGTACAATAATTTCATATTGATTCTTCATTGATTATATTGGAAATTTCATTTCTTTGAGTGAATGAAATTCAGTCCAATTCCTTATGCAATTCCAAAAATGCAATTCTTTAAATGTTATTGTAAAAATGAACACATATGATTTCAGATCAATTTGGGTCATTAATTGGAATAGATAATAACAAAAAAAAGTACTTCGATGTTTCCCTAAAAGATTTGTGCCATCAATCAAAGTAGAGGTCATCCTAGAATATTAAAGAAAGTTGGATATGGGTCAAGCTAAGATGTTGAACCAGACATGGCAAAGTCAGTGGAGATTTGGAAAAGAAATGATGATTTGTTGTACCCAATGCATATGTTTTATATGTCTATAGATTATAGAAAAAAAATTAATGTTTAAAAGCATCCTATCTACCTGGTAGTATATACATGCTGTTTTCAATATATTTAGAAAATATGTGTATGTGATGATTGCAATGCATGCTCTGTTTGTCCATCTTTGAATTTGTTTTCAGTAAAATAAAGGTATACATTTAGGTATTAATTGAAGGTTGCTTTTTTCTACACTTACAAGTAACAAGTTTCTTAAAAGGGTTATTTTGTAAAATTGCAAGGAAATTAATACATGAACAATTAAATTTAATATTTTTATTCATTAAATTTTGTTCTTACCAGGACCTAATATGCTCAAGTAAGTATTTCTGAAAACTGATGAGTTTTGTAAATAAAGTTGCAGTGAACATTTAACAGTTTAAAATATGACACTTGGAAATTGAATGGTTGTTAATTTAGTAGGAATGATAAGACCAGTTTAGTAATCAACTAAAATTAAAATCTTTCACAAATACATGTAGTTTATTTGATAATTGTATACATTTATAATTTTTTAATTTTTTTCTGTATAAAAAAGAGAAAAAAATTTTATATTTAAATTTTTATTTCATGGATACCAAGGAGATATATCTATCACTGTAACATTATTTCTTTTTGCTTGTTCTTGACAAATATTTATGACAGTGTTATGTCATTTTGCAGAATTTGCCTTTTCTCTGAAATCAGAAGTACTCTGTAAACTCATTAAAGTATGAATTGATGTCACTTAGAATTCATCTTTATTTTGTTCTGTCTGATATTTCAATTTAGATTCTCAGACTACCTAATCCAAAGATTGAGCTAATGTCCATGAAGTGTAGAAATAGGCCATCTTTAAGAAATGTTTGGTTGTCGGCCTCTCCAGACCGACTGACTAAAATGACCAGACTGAAATTTTTTTTTCTATGCAGGGCTGTATTTTTTCTTTTTATTCCTCTTATTCCCCTTAAAGAAATGTTGTTGAAGATTTTCTCACCTACCGACCCAATAATTTTACCCAGAGTCAAGAGAGGGCAAACAAACATTACTTTCAAGATAGCATTTCTACTCTTCAAAGTAAAGAAATCATTTAATTATAAAAGCAGCAGCTTCGTGGATGCAATGCTTACAACATTTCACTCAAAAGATGGCATACATGTATGATGATTGTCACAAGACATAACTGAATAAAGATATTTTGCTACGAAGATGTCTAGAAAATACTACATGTTGGAATAACTAAATCAGCATGAGGTCAAATTCAAAGGCTTTTAATTGGGTTAGTTGCAACATGTTCTAAAGTATGTTTATAAACATATACATGTCCTTCTAAAGGTGTTGCAGTATAATTCATGGACAATTTCATCAGAATATTCAGATGTAAAGATTGCCATAAATACTAGATTTCTTCTATGGAATAAATTTTTAGACCATCTTGTAGCACAGGAGGAGTTTTATTTTGAATATTTTTGGCCAAGTTTTGCTTAAAAACAATATCAAAAATATATTTAGTCTTTAACATTCACCATGACAAGGTGATATCAATGTTGTCTTTATAAGTGTAGAAAAAGCCTGATTTTTGTGTTCATAACCCATTATATAGCCCATGTTTCCATGGAAATAATATTGGGGACATACATATTTTTTTGGTTCAAATTATTTAAAATGATCAAATTAATAACTTCATGGAATTTGATGGAATCGTAAGATATGTAAAACGTTGATTTTTATATTTTTGTTGCCATGGCAACGGTTTCACTTTATCAAGGAAAATTGAAAAATCTTCTTTTTTACCCAATTTTTCACATTTTTGATAACGGAAAATTAATAGTTTAAATAATAGAAGCATGAATTATACTAATTCAGGTCATTTTAATTATAAAAGTTTGATAATTAATAAAATAAATCAATTTTTTTAATGAAAATAATATTCGAGGTGAAATATGAAATACGTTAAATTTGGCGTCTTTTACTAAAAAAATGGGACGGGCAATATCTTTGAAAATCATATTAAATGATGAAGCTAATCTCCCTGAATAAATTGATATATGGCATGTATGCATATTAAAAAAAATAAAAGTTGGAGGGAGACGCAAACCTTACCTTAACAAGTTTTAAAGATTTTATAGTTATTTGAAATTTTGACATAAGTCTTAATCTGTTTCATGATCCCGGGGCCAGAAGCAGAAGAGAAATTTTTCAAAGAATTCATGCATTTTCAATACATTTATATAATCATTTATAGAGCCCCACCCTAACACCAAAACACATTACCAAGGGGCAATGAAATTCACAGTTTTGGGAGAAGAACTTTTCGTCATCATAACTATATATTAATTAATTCATTACATTAATAGCCAGGAGCAGAAAAAGATTTACATGCATTTCACAAGATTATCAATTAAGCCCCACACTATAACACCAGGCTTTGGGGCCACCAACGCTGAAATTTTCTCACATCTGAGATTTTACAGAAAATCAGAGATTTTCTGACCAAACTGTGCCACCAAATAAATATTTTTCAAACTCACGCTATTCCTTTGAGTTTTTTCTTATATCTTATATATTTTCAAAAGCGCGTGCCACCAACGTTTTTTCCGACTCTGGTGAGAAAAAAATCAGAGTTTTCTCTGAAAATCTTGAGTTTGGTAAACAGTAACCTCACATAAAAAACTCACGTGAAATCACTCACCAAAATGGCTGTCAGGAGGTGTTTACGACGCAGACGTCGCCGAAGAAATTTGATCATAAGAAGACTGAATGACCGATCCAATCCACTGGAAGCCCTTAACGAAGCTGAGGTGTTTGATAGGTATCGGTTTGTCCCGGAAACCATCATGTTTATCGTTGGTCTAATCCAAGACCAATTGCTGTACAACAGCCAGCGAAACAACCCCCTTACTCCCCTGTATCAGGTTTTGGTTGCCCTCCGGTTCTATGCCACGGGGTCTTTTTATCTAACCCTAGGGGACACTTTGTCTGTGTCGAAGAGTACGGCAGGGAGAGCAGTGCGCCGGGTGACTGACCTTATCTGCACACAGGTCCGACGATTCGTTCGACTGCCTGACAGGAATGAATCCAGCTGCATTAAATCTGCTTTCCATAAAATTGCAGGTAAAATAATACGCACAGAAGCGTCTGCATGTCTTGTTGTTTTCATTTGACCTTCATCCAGTCGTAAAAATACGAATCCTGAACCCGATTTCATAATAAACAATATATGTAAATAACATGTTGTATGCAATACTTATAAAACACATTGCCATACATATATTTAAAACTTTTCATAGACCCCTACAGAGTTCATTCATTTAATCCGATTATTAAATAGAATATATACATCCATATCATATGAAAATATACAAACAAAATAATTTCTTTCAATATTGAAAATAGGTTGGTGGATCAAGCACATGTTGTCCATCATCATCCTATGATCCTTGCTTTTGAGGCAATTCATCTTTTCATCGAAATAAATAATTCTATAATGTTTTTAAAAATTAGCATCATTTATCTATTACAATTAGCCCCTCTCCCTCTTTCCAAAGAAAAAATGGAAGACATGTTGATATTTTTGATAAAATATGAATTCTTATTTCTTAGGATTCCCAAGTATAATTGGATGCGTGGATGGCACCATGGTGAAAATTATTGCCCCAGCTGAAAATGAATCGGACTACCTATGCCGTAAAGGTTACCATGCCCTAAATATACAGGTACATGTAGCATATAATGTGACCCCCCCCCCCCCATTCAACCTTCAATTGCTGTAAGTTCAAGCTCTAGCAAATTCTAGCATGAAAATGATATATGTTATATACATTAATTTATCCCATGTTTGCACCTTTATCCCGTGGATATATATATATATATATATATATATATATATATATATAATACAGTGTTAAAAATAAATATATATATATATATATATATATATATAAAAATATATAAAAATCATGTATATATTATACATTAATGTAATTCTTCAGATGACATGTGATCCGCAATTCAAAGTCCTTGATGTTGTTGCAAAGTGGCCTGGAAGTGTCCATGATGCTCGAATATTTAGGGAATCGAGCTTGTGCCGAATAATGGAAGAAGGTATGTGCCTGAATATATTGAGCTTTTCTACAGTCTATAATGTTGGATGTAATTATACCTGTTGATATAATCAACATATTCTATATATTTTTTAAACCTTTATAGTGTATAGATACACTTTTTACAATTACTTCAATTTTTTTTTTAAAAATCTCATTTTCTACATTATGTATAAATTGAAAACAGTTCATGAATTATTTGATTGGTTATGAAACCTTTATGCAATGTAGGACAGCTAGCAGGGATTTTACTAGGAGATTCAGGATATGGCCTGAAACCATACCTAATGACACCTTACATGGCAGAGGATGCCCCTGGGAACAGGAGATTTAATTTAGCACATTGTAGAACAAGGTTACTCTTAAAATTTTTCTTTTCTATAGAGCAAAAAAACTTAACCAATTAACCATTTCAATACCAGAAATTTCAAGATTCAATCTAGAAAACCATACAAGGAGTATATTACATGTATGTCTTTATTCATTTTCATTGTCAGAGTAACAATAGAGCAAACGTTTGGCATCCTAAAAAAAAGATTTCATTCCCTCCACTGTGGCCTAAGAACCAAGCCAGAGAGGGCCTGTAGAATTGTCACAGTCTGTGCCATACTTCATAACATCGGCATTGAGCGAAGAGACATCCTTCAAGACATTGATGTTATGAATGAGATGAATGAGAGTGCTCTTGACATTCAAGTGCCAGATGACGCTGTTGGGCGCACTGTAAGGGACCACATCCGAGATAGTTACTTCTTATGAAGAGGGTAAATCTATTTTCTTAACATTAGTTATTTTATTAAATTGAATTTCAGAATATCCAGTTTTTTTTAATTGTATGTACAGCTTTATAGCTACTCAAAGTAATTTGGGAATTATGATGCTATGGGTAAAATACAACAACAGTCAGAATCAAATTTTGATGAGAATATTTAATGACTTAATGGTTTAAATGCTATACATCCAACAATCTTAAATATACCCATTTAACATCAAACAATCTAAATATACACATTTACTTGAGGATCTAATTTGTACAAGTGCGTAAACACACTTATGAATGTTGAATAAGAGATTCATGGTCCACAACTCTCAGCAGAGTCACTATTCCCTACCTGTTCTTTAAAACATTAAGAATCCAGGGGCCACATAGCTAACCTGAGCAACTGGCTAAGTAAAAACAAAAACAAAAATCAGTTAAACATAGAAAAAAAACTTGGAGTACCCTTATCTATATTAGCTGCAGATCTGTAGCTCTCTGAAAAAATATAAATTGATAGACCGGAGAGCTACAGAGCCACCCATTGAAAAAACTGTATATTTATTGCGCACAAATGAATGTGCTTGGTTCTCAATTTATTTCTCCATGTTTTTTAAGCTGTAATCTCAAAATATTACTAACTGTGTGTTCCTAACATATTCTTTGACTCTTTCCACAACAAGACATTCCTTATAAGTCCCCTGGCCCTGATGTTGCAATCGTTGGACATTTCGCTAATTTATACTGCCATTTTGGTTTCAAAGACAATTCGGTCCAATATGCTTTGTTCAAATGTCAACTTCAAGAGAACTTGATAGAGGAGAGAGTAATTTTTTGAAATCTTCCATTTTTTGCAATTGAGGTAAGAATTTGGAAAAATTAATCAAGAATGGAGCTCACTTTTTTGAGTGCAATAAATTTACAGTTTTTCAATGGGTGTCACTGTAGCTCTCCAGTCTATCAATATATATTTCTGCCCCCCTTCGAAGAAGGGAGGGCATATTGCTTTGCTGCTGTCTGTCGGTCGGTCTGTCGGTCCATTTAGTTTCCGTTCATTTTCTTCATAACCGTTGCATATACTGAAATGAAATTTGGTATACAAGTATATCAAATGAATATCTAGGTCAAGTTCTGTTTCGGGTACAATCGCACCATAATTGACAGAGTTATGCCCCTTGGACATAGAAAAATTCCAATTGTTTGCAGTTTCCGCTCATTTTGTTTGGGGAGGTTGCACATATTGAAATGGAATTTAGTATACAGATTAGTCAGATGAATATCTAGATTAACTTCTGTTTTGGGTATGATCATATGATCACACCATTTTTGACAGAGTAATGCCCTTTTGGACTTAGAAAAATTCCAATTTGTGGGGAAGGGGGGCATAAGTGTTTTTCAAACATCTCTTGTTTTTCAGAGAGCTACAGATCTGCAGCTATATCTATATGTGAGACATTTAAATTTCATTACTTTTTAACATCTGAGCTACTACTTCTGGGTGTGAATTAACTAATATTTGAAATTTTAAATCATAATAGGACTTCTGTGTCTGGATTAGCTCTCTTTCATCCTTTATCTTCATAATTTGTTCCTGCAACTTCTCTGTTTCCAGACCAAGGATCCTCTGTTCATAATCTTGAACAGTCATTTTCTTCTTTGACTTAACAGAATCTGTTAAAAGAAGAAAACTAGTGAAAATGATGGAATTCTTTTTTTTTTAATCTGAACATACTGGGTCTTAAGGTCTCAAATTCACATCCTATCCTCCTTTTTAAACATACATGTTATTGCTCAAGTTCCCTAAAAGCAGATGAATGTAGACTCAGGTGACTGTAATTTATAAAAGCAATTCTATATTGTTCAATTCAACAGCAACAATTTCTCAAAGGACAATAAACTTTCATTAAAATTTGTTCTTGTCCATAAATACATGTAGGTGTAAACTAATTCAACATGAGATTCCATATAACACAATGACTAATCAAGGCTGTTGGAAGTCTCCAAAAAACAAAAGTTATGTAACATGGAAATTTTGTATATCAGATGGTATTTCTTCATGGATATACAGATGGATCGGCCATTGTACCTTTCTATCCCTTGCTCTTCAAGCTTGGGTTTAAAAATTATAAAATTTTAAAGTAATGAAGCAATAACTTTCCTTGCAAAATGGTTCTTTGAAGAAAAGCTTATTACCTTGTGCAAAGCATCAAATAATCCAGACAAGAGGCCCATAGGCCACATCGCTCACCTAAACACTGAAAAAATGCAGAAATCAGATAATAATTGAAAAGTTTAAACCCAAAAGAGGTCCCAATCAATCCTTAACGGGGAGAGGGTATGATTTAAAAAACTTGAAATGACGACAGACAACTGACAAATTTTGATCGGAAAAGCTCACTTGGGCCTTCGGCTCAGGTGAGCTAAAAACAAACTACCACAGACTGAGAGACAGAAAAGGGTAATATTCTATGAAAATCTGGCAATTTTTGATATGAGCTTATGTGAAAATTATTTCAATATTGAGACCACACAAAGAATTGTTTTTTTTAAGAAATAAGGCAACTACTATCAGTGTTGTTGCTTCATTAAGCCAAAAAAAATCTTATTAGAACCATTTCCAGGTAAGTTTGGACTTTCAGTAAAGCGTGGCATTCTTGACGTTGCATAATTAGCTTCTGTAATCTACACAGCTTTCCTTCACTGTTGAAATATACATGGGATAGAAATTTGGTCTAATGCCAGTTAGTGTATTGAATAACCAATAATGTTGTCTTGTCCGACAAAATGGTGGAGCTCAAGTCATCTCATCATTTTCAACAACAATTTAAAGTTCCTGATTTTATTAAATTCTAACACAGTGAGAATCTAATTGCCATTTAACAGAAGCTTATCATTACTTAGCGCCAAGAATGCCATGCCTTACTCAGTGAAAGTCCAAATCAACCTGGATATGGTTCTATCAAACATTTCTAGTTACTGTACCTCTTGTCTCTTTAATCTTTTCAGGCATGTCTGAGGAGGTGGAAGGCTGGATTGGCAAAAGATCTATTAAACAAACATAACAGATTATAAGAGATATCATAATTTAAAATTAGTTTTGATTATGTAAATGCAGAATGAACTTACATTGCATCTTTTTTCGTTTTTTTTTTATGCCCTATAAATCAAAGACACGAGAGTATATAGTTTTGCCCTGTCTGTTGGTGTGTCCCACTGTCTGTTTGTTCGTCTGTGAAAGAAGTTTAACCTTGTTCATTGCTTTTGATTGTTTAGAGCTATGCTTTTCATATTTCATACATGTATTCCACGTGACAAGACCTTTCTTTTGATACATATATAGTGGACTATTTGACCTTGGAGTTTGACCCACTTTTGTAAAAATTTAACAAACTTTAGTCTAAGCTTTAAATTCTGAATGGTGCTAAGCCTTTCTTACTTCAAATATGTAATTTTAACAAGATAAAAATTTTGAAACTTGACCTTTGAGATTGACCCACATTTTCAGAAGTTTAACCTTGACCATAACTTATGAATAATTGGAGCTTGGGCTTTCATATTCCACAGGTAAATATTATTGACAATTTTTCACCCCTTGAGCTTCAATGTTAGAATAACGGTCTTGCATCTGGGAATTTTAACCTGTGCCATAAGCTCCCATATGGAGCATCAGTGTTTCTCAAACACACCTTGTTTAGTCTACACTTTTATGTATTTTGTATACAATTACCATCCCTGAAATTTTATCTATAGTTAACTACGGTAAATAATTGTTTTGACAACACTGCTCTTTGAATGAATCTACATTTAGTTTACATGCAGTTGTCACAAATTTGAATTGTAAATTGCTGATAAGTTTGAATTAACATTTAACACATAGTAATATTAATACAGAGATACCATGCAAAGTTGTTGTTTGTTAATTAATTTTAATTAATGAAAGTGTTAAGAGTTTATTACCAGCTGTATCAATGCCACCAGATATACCTTCCAAAGAAGGTCTACCGTCCAAGTTATCCAAGATGGATTTTTCTGCGGGAGATGGACTTGGGGGCTTTGGACCACCGCCAGTCTTAGGCCTCTTCATCTCAGACAACTTTCCCTTGGCTAAAATCAATTATAACATTTTTTTAAACAAACAGTGTAATTGCAGAAAATTTATGATTCAGTTGTTATATTGAGCAGAACTGTAGCTCTCTGCTTGGGAAAATTAGGACGGATAAAGCAGAGAGCTACAGATCCAAGTGTAAAAACCTTCAATTTATGCCAAAGATTTTTTGTTGCTACTTTAGGTATTTATTTCTTGTAGTTTTAGCTTTCGCGGGCTTTTAAAATGGTTTTAAAATGAATTTTCCCAAGCAGTGAGCTACAGTTCTGCAGCTTATATTAAGTGTACACACTAGATTTTAAAAGGGTACAAAAAATTTTACTTTGGCAGTTTGCTATAAATGTGAATAAAGAACAATCATATTGAATTCAATTTCTACTTGATACATTGTGTACCAAATGTTTTAAGCCCTCTTCAGTCAGTCTTGTAATGGCAAAACTTTACTGGCATGGTACATGTATATATAACAGTATAGATTTAATCAACAAAGCTCATATTTTAATTCTGAAATCTTTTTTTGTTCCATCATTCCATTGTCATATGACACAACAGTGCATTTAATTGATCTTGGAGTGTGACTGATTTTGTTTAAACATGAATGCAGTTCGATGCATCATTTATCTAAATTTTGCGTATAGTCGAGTGTAACCTTGAAATTTTTCCCCAAGAAAGCCATGGTCAAACAAGGTGAGGTAATGGTTTTCAAAAATTGAAAATTTTCAATATAATACTTTCATGTAAATTAGTTGAATCTGATTAGTCGCCAAACATTTAAAAAATACAATTACCCTCTGAATACCGAAGGCACGCCCTCAAATGTAGCAACAGTCAACATTGCTTGACGACAGGTGATATTAAAAAAAATAGAAACTGTGCAGAAGTAATGTGTTCACACGGTTCACTGTTATATGTATTTGTATATTATGTATTTATCCCGCTTCAGACAATTTTGTAGATTACAGATTTGATAAAAGCTTCGCCTCGCCCAATACGAATTTTCATTTCACATCCTGTATGAATCCGTATTAGGTCAATGACTGACTGTGTAACTAAATTTGTATACAACATTAAGTGTAATATAATAAATATTGCATGTAGTTGAACGTACTAAGACAGCCTCGTGCATGTATTTTGATATTCTAAAAGCACTGTTCATCATTTATGAGTATTGCAATGTTTATGCCATGGAGTCATAGTTTCAGCTGCAGAGATGTTCCTACATCTGTGAAAAATACCTTGTTTAAGACATTCAAATGTAAAAAAAAATAAAGATAAACAAAATACATGATAATTGTCTTGAAACGTAAGCAATATTTGGGCTCAGGTCGGCATTTGACCCTCGCCCAAATATCGCTTACATTTCAAGACAGTAACCATGTATTTCAGGCTATATATGCAGGGGCTGACAAATAGATTTTTAAGGCACTAGTCCAAGGGCAAGTACATGGTCAAAATTGACTAGCCCTACCTGAATTTTTGCTTGCCCTACCATAAACTAATTCTGTATTTATAGATATTTCAAAAAAGAGGAAGGCAAATGCTGAGCAAGCCCCCATGCCCAGCTTTAAATTCATG